CAGAGGACAACTTTGTATGGCTTCTGGGGACTGGACTCAGGCCATCAGGCTCGCACGGACATCATCTTTGCCCTTCGGCTCCTAAAAGGCCTTCCTTGTGGGGTGACCACACACACCAGAATTGTAGGAAGTCTCCCCAGCTCGGCTTGCTCCATGCCTTCCTTTCAGGGTCAGACTGGCCTTGAATTTACTGCGTAGCCAAGATTGGCCTTGAACTCCTGATCTTCCCACCTCTGTCTCTTGAGTGTAACTGCCACTCCTAACCAGAAACTTTTCTTATATGAGCACAACCTTAATGAACATACGTGAGCTCTTTCATTAAACAGAAAAAAAAAAAAAAAAAGAAGAGTCAGATATATGAAAGACGGTTGTCAAAATTCTTTTCCTAATTTCCCAGGGCCCATCTTGCGCACACCCCTGTTTCTGAACTCTTACAGAGTTGGTTCAGAAGACTCAACCTAATTTTCATGGTAATTATAGCTCCCATGTCATCAGCTCATGGTTTTTAAAATTAAACCACATAATTAGAGTGAAAGTTATAACGGCCATGAGAAGGTTTGGGGAGGAACACAGCTGTCTCTTGGTGATAGGAAACTGGAGGGCAGAAGTAGCCTGACCTCTGGAGCTGATATCTGAGGCAGGCATCCACACACCTCCTGGTGGGGAGCCCTCATGAGTGACAGCAGAGGGTTCACAGGCTGGGGCTGGTTACGGTAGTCTACAGTCTGAACTCTGTCTCCTCCTAACTCATCCTGGAGAGAGGCCTTGTGTCCACCCATTTTTGTGAACTGAGGGATTTAAGGTATGGCCTGGCTGCCCAGACATGCTTAGGTAGGCTATACCCCAAAATGAGGTCAGACTATCAACACTCAGAATCTTTAAAACATTCCCCAGACACTAAGCCTGTCTTCTCCCCCTCCACCTCAGCCTGAGTGGGCAGGATCATCCTGCCTGTTTTCATGCAGGGACAAGTTGACTTTCATCCCTGAAATCTCCTCTAATCTTGAAAAGCTTGGGTGATGGCAATCTGGAAGCTGGTCTCAGCCAGAGTTTAATGTTTAACTTCTGCTTTGGCGCCACCAAGTGGTTAGTTTGGATGTGACAGAATCCAAGGGAAAAAAGGCTGTCAAATAAAACAAAACCAAAAAACCAAAAATCAAAACCAAAAGCAAACAAGAAAGGTGATGATAAAAATAACTCTGCGATAAGGAGATTTGGGGTCAGTGACAGTATTCTGCATGACTCTCAGTGACGGGAGCGTGTCAGTAAGCAGATTCCCAAACAGAAAACTAAAGGGAGCTTCTGTGTCAGCCATGAACTCTGTGGGTCAGTGCATGGCCCTGTTCTGGAGATCTTGTCCTGATCTTGGGGTGGGGGGGCTGGGGGGGAGGGGAGGATTGGGGGAACTTTTGTATTTTTTGCCCACTTTCTGTGGCTCTAAAAGTAATTTATGAATAATATGAACACTTCTACTTTAATAATTTCCCCTTCTAAATTCCAGTGTCATGGCAAAGAGTAAGATAAGTTGGAGGCTCGCCTGAGGCTCCTTTCTGTTGTTGTGATGAAACACCCTGGCAGAATGTGGACAAAGGTTTATTTTAGCTCACAGTTGCAGGCTGCAGTCCATCGTAGCAGGGCAGTCATGGAAACAGGATCTGAAGACAGTTGTTTCTCATCTACAGCTGAGAGCAGGAAGAAGGAATATGCACATGCTTGCAGCTCAGCTCAGGACCCAAACTCGGGGAGGGGTGCTGCTGACTTTCAGGACGGGCCTTCTTGTATCAGTCAGTGTTCTCAGACAGTGCCTCACAGAGGTGGACAGGGCCAACATGACTGAGACAACCCCTCTAGATTGTGTCAACTCGACAACTAAAACCACTTATCACAGATACCTACAGAGGCCAGCTGAATTCACAGCGGGCTGATCATGCCTTTCCGAAGCCACACACTCCAGCATCGGAGTCCTTAGCATTGTAAATACCAGACACCTACTATTGGCTCAACAGTATATGGAGCTGTTTCATTTTCCAGATCAAGCTCACTTGTTGAATCAGATGCTAATATGCACTCAATTAGGAACATGTGTATAATACTAGAATAAACCATAGATGTGTTAAGTGAGCAGTTTACTGTCTACACAAAATAGACAAAGTGTGCTGGGTAGGCGCATGTTGACATTACAGTGGTGGTGGTGTACTTTGTGTGCTGCTAGTCTTTAGTGGAATGAAGCGATGTGTTCGGGTGTGCACTGCATGGTTTTGAGCTCTGTTAGTTCATGTTAGTGTGGTGTGTGCTGTCATTTGTGTTGTTCATTTGTTGGTACCACTCAGCTAAGTCTGACTGTACCTGGCTTTCTTTTGGGCCACCAACCAACTCACAAATCATGACACAGGGAACTATTATTAGTTTTGAATGCTTGGCCTTAGTTTAGCTCCTATTTT